GGATTGTTTTAGTACAAGAAAAAGTTTAGTGAACGTTAAAACCCTTTATTCCTTAAGTAGGATATAGGATAACTCCATCTCTATTTAAAAGAATGTGGATGTGACTTTCATTTTTCGTTTCTCCCTTCCCCTTGAACCCAGCTGCAGGGTGTTAGTTTAATTTTCTTCTTTGGCTTGTGGCATGTTTTCAGGATGATCCCTACAAGTTTCCTCTCTTTGATTCATATATTTATTTGCTTTTATCTCTATTGCTAAGTTCATCTTCCCTTTGTACTATAGGCAGCTCCTTCAATGTACTTAATTTGCATCCTTCAATTTATGATATACTCTTATAAATTATGCAGTGATGTCTTGGGTGCAAATGAAATTTTAATATTTATAACTGGTGTTGTGACATGGAATGCATTCAATATTTTGTCACTTTGTAGACCTTTTTAAGGTCCATTCATGTTACAGTGTTTACATGGAATTTGTTGCTGCATAGTAATCCATAAAGTCTATGTCCCACATGGTACTCCCAGGGTAGACAATCAGTTACTTTACTATCAAGCAAAACTAAGGTTAAATACCCTCTACGTGTTCTCTTAGGTGAGAATTTCCCTGGGAATGGGGTTGCTGTTTAGAGTTTGTCCTTGACTTAGGAATGACATTCGTTGATTTGACTGAGTATTGTCAGACAGGATAACAAATGGCTGGCCCAGGCTGCACTGCCACCAACTCTGCACAGGGTCCTTCCCCTACCAGTGCTTATCTTTATCCAATTTTCTATTTGTTGCCAATCTGAGTAGAAATTATATTTTGTTATCATTTGCATTTCTCTGAGTTACTAATAAACTTGAGTATTAGTTAAAATGCTTGGTATTTATTTTGTCTTTCCTCTGTAGGTTAATAACTCTATAGGTTAAGTGTGTTCACATGAAATCATCATATTTGCCTATTTAAGATGTACAGTTTGTATTCCACCTTAATATATTTTCCTTTAAGCTGGAATATATCTGCATTAGCTAGATTTTAAATGATTTCTCAATTCAACAATGATTTTTACTTTATGTTTTATTATTGAAACATGATAAATGAACAACTTTCATGAAAAGAATTACTATTTGACTGCTGGTGGGATTTTTATTAGGTCATATGGTGTAGGATGCTTTTCTATTTTTTGTATTAATCTTTACGTTAGCATTGAGTTTTGGTAGCATTGATGCAAAAATCAATCACCTTTAAATTTGAAAATTTGGAAATGGCGATAGCAGTTTTTACGCCAAAAATGTGTGCGCCAGTTTTAGACTTTGTTTTGGCAGCTCTTACTTTAAAAACCTAAAATATGTTTTTGTAAACACTGTATTGAAGAATTATCTAAGGGAGAGGGTAATTTTAAGTGGCATTGTTTTCATACTTGAGTGTGATGAAATCCTTGATGTCAGTGCGCTTTAGCTAAAGACCACCGGGAACACACTTGTGGTAAGGAAGGTGGCTTACTTCTTACACTGAGGGACCAATGCACCATGGAGACCCTGAGGTGTCTCATTACATATCCTGTAGTCAGAACTGGACTTTGGTTGGGTGATTTCGGAGAAGTTATAAGGAATGTGGGGTGTCCTTTAGACTTGATACTGAGACCATTCTATGACTGGATAAATAAATCATTTCTAGCAAGCGAGGGATGTTTGATATTTTGTGGATTGTTATACAGTGACCCTTTTCTCTTTTCATTTAATAAAATTATGAAGCAGTCTTGCTTTTTTGTATTTATCATGGTCTCAGAGTAATCTAACCTCAAGCTGGTGTTCTACCAGATTCTGTATGTTTCTCCCTCCCTCCACCCCAACCTGTTCCCTTCTTCCTCTCTTCCTCCTCCTCTTCCTCCTTCTCTCTTTTATCCAAAAGCAATTAAAATGTTTTAAAATATATGCTTAATTGCAGAATTTCCCCCCACCCCCCACCCCGAGTCACCCAGGGTAGTGACTTAATTATAAAGATGTGACATATTGTGAGAGATTTCATTTGGACAAAAAACAAGAAAGTTAGTTTTACCTTGTAGCTTTGCCACAGATAACCTTGCCCATGATTGGTTGCCTCCTGCATGAACCCTAACCAGGGCCTGGGCCAGGGAGGAGCCTGCAACTGAGGTACATACCCTTGACCAGAATGTATGTGCCCTTGATTAGAATCAAACCCGGGACACTTAAATCCACAGGCCGATGCTCTATCCACTGGGCCAAACTGGCTAGGGCTTAATTTCTTAATTGTAGTCTCACTTTGAAATAGCCCTCTCCGTCTGCTGCCTGTCGCAGTGGAAGCCACCCTACTCTTGCCCTCTTCATTCACTGCGGTTACCTTTGGTCTCTCTGTTCGTTCTGCTATTCCCTTGCAGTGAGCACCTCCTCCACAGAAAAGGCAGAGTGATCTTTTCAAACACATTAAGATATATCCCAAAACTCCTCTCTGAAAGCTCTCCCCCACTCACTGCAGTCAAGTAACCCTCAGACTTGAGCAGATCCTGAAGGACTCCTGCTTGCCTCTGTGACTTCATCATGGCTTTTCTTTTCATCTTGCCACTACTCAACTGGCTGGCCTTTGTTGTTCTTGGAAATTATCAAATGCATTCTTGCTTTATATCCTTTAGTCTAACAATTCCCCTTATCTGGAATCATCAGTCTTTGTAGGTCTGGCTCCTTATCCTTTATTCCTTAGAGATCAAACCTATTTCCCTATTTGTAAGTCATCTCTGTCTAAATTAGCTTCATGTACTCTGTCTTTCTTTTATGTTATTTGTAGCACTTACCATTCATCCATTCATTCATTCATTTGTTCTATTGTGTGGTACTCCCTTTCCCATCTCACTTCACTCCCCACTTCACACATAAGCTCTGAGTGCATGTCTGTACATTTCTAAGTGTGCAGTCCCTAAGGAAGTACCTAGCACAAAAGAGGGGATTAACCAAGATCTGTTTAGTAAATGAATATGCTTATGAATGAATAAATGAACAAGCAACCAAATGAGTGAACATACATTCTATACATATGTCTGTTGACTATTAACAAGAGGAGTGCTTGTTAGTTTATTATTTAATTGAGGTATAGCTATCTGGAAAAAAAAAAGTCAATCTCTTTCTCTGGAAATACGCCTTAAAATATAATGTTCTTTTGAGCATGGTCTAGGACTATCGTTTAGATGGTATAGCATCCTAATGATGTTTTCCTGATGCTTAAAATAACATTTGGATGCATTTCTCTGGAGTGATTCTAATGTAAATATATTTCATTTATAAATGTCACAATCCAATCAGAACTTTGGGAGAGGTGAGGTGGGTTGAAAAATAGCCTGGGTGTTAGAAGTTTCTGTAGAGTCATGATTCATTAATTTGTAGGTGAGGGCCTACATATAAAATACACATGGTATTATGCCTATTAAGTTTGAAAATAATTATAATTTATTTACTATTTGTTTTCCGTACTTTGTATTTCTTGTTGCATCTAGTGTTCGAATTTGACAGTAATTTAAATTACTTTTTTTATA